ATACAAAATAAAATACGGCAAACTTTCGCAAGAATTTTCAGTCAGGTTGTAAAGTAGAACACAAAGTGGCACAAATTGGTTAGGGTTTGTACACTGGGAAAAAAAAAAAAAAAAAAAAAAAAAAAAAAAAAAGATAGTTCTGTATCTCCCGTTCTACTAGGCTTTCTACTGAACCGATTGAAGAAATTAAAACTACGTTTTTCGTTTAGGTATTTTAACACAAAATCCGACTTTTACTGAAATGACATGCCAATTGTTTTCCATATTTCAATCCTACGACTTATTTTATGCCTAAATATGTAAAAATGTATCTATAGAGTCGTTATGCGATAAGACGTACACGTAGTAGGTAGCATGCGTGTCGTATGCTAGAGACTATTGCTTAACTTGTGTAATACAGAGCATAAACATATTCGACCTCCAACAATTAGTGTTGTGAAAGGATAAGTATATTATGCGATTAGCCAAAGATCTCTTAATCATTAGGTGACACAAAAGCACCCAACTCGCGGCACGATTCCAAACACTTTCTACACTCATGTCCATAAATTAAGGATAATTCGGAGTCACGCGGAAATCGAACTCAAAAATAAATATATCACCTGTAAAATCACTGCACACATCTTCAAGAATCATATGCAAATTTCAGGAAGTGACCAGATGATACCGATGGTACGTCACAATGACGAGAGTGTAAGAGAGTGATATATAAGGAATACAGGCAAAGAAGTAAAATTGTTCGCAAGCGCTTTATAAGCATTTCAGTGCAATAACCGAATAATTATTACACAAACGACGCATTTCGATGACTTTTTACGTGGTAGAATTATCGGCCGTCTGGAATGTGGGCGTATCCAACTGAAATTATCAGAAGAACTTAGAATTGCCCAGAGTGTCATCTTCAGGCTTTGGCAAGGATTCCAAGATGATGGTAATGTGAGTAGACGTTACAGCACAGGTCGACCCAGAGTTACAACGCCGAATGAGGACCGGTATTTGGCAGTTACTGCCAAAAGAAAAAACAGGCGGAGCACAGCCTGAGACCTGCCTCGTCAGCTCTCTTCAGCCACTGGTACGACAATTTCAAGGCAGACCGTGTACAGACGCTTAGGGCAGATTGGTCTATATGCTCGTAGACCTGTCAGATGCGTTCCACTTACTGCAACTCACTGTCGCCTGCGGTTAGCCTGGAGTAGAGAGCATGCATTGTGGACACTGCAACAGTGGGCTTGTGTGATGTTTTCCGACGAGTCCAGGTTTGACTTGCAGTCCGATTCTCACCGGACTTTCATATGGAGAGCTCCAGGGATTCGTTACCACCAAGAAAACATCATTGAACGACACCGTTTGGGTGTGGTGCAGGAGTGCTCGTTTGGGGTGGAATTATTCTGGGTTCCAGAACTGACCTGCATTTTCAAACTGGAATCATGACAAGCCAAATCTATCGGGACGTCATTCTGGAACAACATGTACGTTTGTTTCGGGGGCGCCATGGGCGCACAATTTGTGTTTATGGATGACAACGCCAGTCCTCACCGTGCAAACATCGTAAGCGAATGCCTTCAATCGGAGGATATCACCCTGTATGTACTGGCCAGCATTCTCACCGGACTTGAATCCAGTAGAACACGTGTGGGACATGCTTGGCCGACGAGTTGCAGCCCGTCAACTCCTTCCTACATGTCTACCGGAACTTCGGAGTGCATTGCTTTTTGAGTGATGTAATATCCCCCAAGATCAGATCGATAATTTGATACTCAGATGCCTAGGCGTTGTACGGGACTGTATTGCATCGTCTGGGAGACATACAATGTATTAACAATCAAACCAACCATGTAATATTGGCTTTTTGCAAATAAGGTTTTTTTTTTTTTTTTTTTTTTTTTTTTTTTTTTTTTGTAATTTGCTCCAGGGAGAAAAAAAAAAATCGCTACTTTTTTTTAATAATATCAAACATATAGCATCTTTTTTTGCTCTTTACCTTTTGTTTAATAAATAAGCTTTACAAATAAGTCAAATTTGTCTTGCTTCTAACTCTTCCTTTGCCTGATTTTGCATTATCCTTAATACATGGACATGAGTGTATATGATGTTTACTTTGCCGTAAAACTCTTTAGCTACAACTGTCCGAAAATACAAAATAAAATACGGCAAACTTTCGCAAGAATTTTCAGTAAGGTTATAAAGTAGAACACAAAGTGGCACAAACTGGTTAGGGTTTGTACACTGGAAAAAAAAAAAAAAAAAAAAAGGTTAGTTCTGTATCTCCCGTTCTACTAGGCTTTCTACTGGGCCGATTGAAGAAATTCAAACTACGTTTTCGTATCTCGAAAGTGCGATTTAGGATATATATTAGATACATAGGTATTTTTAACACAAAATCCGACTTTTACTGAAATGACATGCCAATTGTTTTCCATATTTGAATCTTGCGACTCATTTTATGCCTAAATATTGAATTTTGTAAAATGTGATGCGAAATTTACGGAGAAATTCAAAAATATATCTTGGCGCATTTCTTTCATTTTGCGCCAAGAATAATTTACTTGGCGAAATTTTTAATTTACGGCAACCTATTTTCCTTCTATATTGTGCAGGATAGAGAAAAAGTCACATCGTTCCTATTTTCAAATAATTTTAACAAAGTGCGTAAACCGCATTTGATGTTATTATCGCTTTTAACAAATATGCCAAATTTCAAAATGCGCCAATATGTAAATTGATATACATGACTCTTGGAAAATTTTGAATAAAAAAAACTCTAATTTCTTGAAGGTGTGCCTAGAAATACATCTACTTTAAGATGATGTTGAAAATGTAATCGGTTATAGTACAAAAATCTTTTCAAAAAATTTATAAAAAAATCTTTAAAAATACAAATTCTGAAAGTAAATCATAAAAAATATCGAATCATACTTAGCCTAAATTTCGAATTCTGGAAGGAGGAATCAAGTAAGTTTAAGAAACAAAGATTTAATAAATATATATCAAATTCAATTAACATTGAGGAGCTAAAATTTTGAGAGCTAATTTTTAAAATAACTACCCGTGCGGTTTTTACAAAAGTTGGCAGTGTGGCATAATTTGAGTGGTAGAATCGAAATATCGAAAGCAATTGGCATGTCATTTCAGAAAAAGTCCGTTTTTGTGTCCAAATAACTATATTAAAGAGCAATACTATATATAAATACATGTCCTAAGTTGCGCTTTCGAGACATGAAAAATGCAATGCGAATTTCGTCAATCTCCCCCGGGGGTCGACGTAGAGAACTCTGCGAACTACTGGCTAGGATCTGTACCTAGGCAGTCTCGGCCACGGGGGTATAAAATTTCTGAACTTGGTGGTTCTGAAGGCCCTGGGAAAGGTCACTTATTGGCCGGCCTCGGGGTCTGGCATGTTCTGAGCGGTGTGCAACCGTAGCCGGAGGGCTAGTACCCCTCGGTTTGTTGGGTAACGGCACACTGCGACGGGTTCGCCCATGCGACTGGTAGGAACAATTGAAGACCAGTGCTGCCTGGTGTTATATCCAGGTGGTGCGCTGCTACCCTGGAAGGGTAATAGTGGAGGTTGAACCTCCACGAAGTGCCTAAAGGGGGAGTAGACCTGTAGTGCGATTTAGTTGACGGGGCGGAGAAGCCAAGAACCTTTTTGAATTTTGTCAATCATCCCAGTAAGAACGGGAGTTATCGAACTGTTCTTTTTTTTTTTTCGCAGTTTACATCAAATTTCAGATCAGGGCACTAGTAGTACCTCATTCTGACAATGTTTCCAACTTCGTAGGCCGATAATTTGTAGTTGCAAATGTTGTTGGCTGCTGTGTCTTTATTTGCCCTAATCTGGAAGGCAGATGTGACCGCGAAATGTTACATTTTGCTCCTGTTCTTTTATTGACGTATTTGATACCTATTCTATGTTTCGTAGGGACTGACGCTGGGAAGTCAGATAGCTTTATTTGTTATTGAAAAGTGGCATGAGCAATCAATCCGCAATCTTACGAAACGAATTATTGCTGATAAATGTCGATTATTCTAAAATAATTAAGCTTGTAAAAGGAATTTAAATACCATTTATATTAACATAAATTAATTCTGCAAAATTGGGGTGTAACGTGACAGGCCTCCTCGTGGTGAACCCTGGTTAAAGTTAAATCTGTCACAGGGTTGCCTTGCTTCCTTGTTCTTTTGAGCATTTTAATTTTATTACATGCTAAGAATCTTGCAGTGGAATGCCAGTTGCATTTTCCAGAATAAGAAGACCCAGATTATGAATGTCACTCATTCTCAAGAAAATTAATTATTTTTCATTGTCGAAGCTAGCCTGTCCTTAGAAGATTTATGTATATATTCATTTTCTGAATTTGATTTGCATTACACATATATCCATATGCGGAACGAACAAACCCAGAATTTTAAATTCGTGGCGTTATTTCGTCTTTTGACTGGGCACGATTGTTTGAATGCCAATCTTTTTAAAATTCGACTTAAAGAATCTTCAGATTGTACGTTTTGCAACCCTGGACAGTCCATGGATAAGGAGCATATTAAGGAATGCACTGCGCTGTTACCTTTTAATTCTACGATCTTTAAGTATTAGGAAGCAAGATCAAGACTAACGGCTTAGTGGCCAAATGTCTGGCATTTGTATAAATAAAATAAATAAATAAAAGAAATTCTGTAAAATTAAATACTTTTTAAATCTTCTCCATGTGCAACTAACTTACAATAGTCATGCCAGTTGGCTCTAAGAGCATATATGATGATATTGTCCAGTTATGTTCGTGAAACTGTCTTGATTATTTGAAGGTGTATGTTTTTAGAAATTCATAAGACCATTACAGTCTTTACGTATTACTAAAAATTTAATGTAATTTAGTAATTCAAGTGAGTCTTCTATGGCACATTCGAGTATACTGGGATAAATTAATAGCATATTAATAATAAATTGTAAAAATTATTGTTTCCAAAAGCGTTATTAATTACGAAATGAATTCTTTTATTTTCAGACTGGAAATCGATGAAAGATGGTGAACCTAAGCCTCTCCCTCCATACCATATACTTCATTTGTTGCGTACTGTTAATCTCCTGTGGCTACAACATAGATGCTTCTCTCTCAAGTCAAGATGGTAAATCGGGTTTTCTGCATTATATTTTCCATACTCTGTAACTATTAGTAGTATTTAACAACATTAAAATTCGTAATTATAATAAAAGAAGCTGTTGCTGTGGCTGTTTCTTATCCTTTTTATCAGAAAAAATCTCGATCAATTCCAAAAATTCATCATGACAGAGACGTAGGAAGCGCCTTTCACAGGCTACAGCTATTATTGGTGATAGTTTGACTTTTCTCTAGATTCCCAGTCCCAGTTTTCATTAGAGAGGACAAAACCCAGAGTCTTCTATCTCTCCTCCACTAGAACCGATTTCTCGAGAAGCTCTGTTCGACAGTATTCTAACTGTGCCCGTGCCACAAAGCCCTTACATATTTTTCATCTAACTAGAGTGTGGTCATAAAAAACGTCCCTGATATACAGTGGTGGCCAAAATTGCTGACACTTTTGGAAATTTTTATGTTTTTGAACTTTGTATGCTTATAGAAAATGTTACGTTTCGCAAAATGCAAACTTGTATATATCATTTTAAAGAGAATTTATTACTGAATTCAATACAAAAACACAAAATTCAATTATTTGCAATAAAAAGTTATATGTACTTTGATATAAATAAAACACAGTTATGAAGTGGTTTGTAATGTCTAGCTTTCCTGGCCAATCACTGTTCTTGTTCTGAGAACCAATCAAATGTTAGTAACTGCCAGTAGAAGCTGACATCATGTTTACACTTGACACAATTCAGCATTTTGCTTTGTTCTGTAGAAGGAGGACCTGTTTCTTATACACTGCAATTACAAGTAGGAATTTTTGTAAACATTTTTAATATTTTAATAGTCAAGAATTTTTTAATAGTCAAGAAGCAATGACATCAAATAAAAGAGTAGATTGGGCACCTAGAAAGAGATGTAATATTATTGTGTTATGAAAAAGTGGTCTTTCCTATACTGAAATTGCAAGACAGGTGGGTGATTCAGTGACTACATCTGGAGTCCGAAAGTTTTGTTTACGATATCAGGAGACAAATTCAATAAAAAACAAAAAAGGAAAAGGCCGAAAAAGGTGCACCACATCTATTGATGACAGAAGAATAAAAAGACTATGTCTCCAAGATAAAAAAGTGTCATCAGCGGCCATTAAAAGTGATCTGAATGATGTTGGTGTTTCTGTCAGTTCAAGAACAATCAGGAGAAGATTAAAAGATGTTGGACTGAGAGGTAGAATTCCACGAAAAAAGCCTTATCTTAATTTTCAGCAACGAAACAAAGACTACAGTGGACAACGGAACACATTAATTGGACAGATGATCAGTGGTCACAAGTTATATGGAGTGATGAAACTAAGATATCGTTATTCGGTAAAGATGGGCGAAAATATGTAAGAAGTAGAATAGGGGAAGAGCTACATCCTGACTGCATTCAAGCAACTGTGAAGAACCCAGTTAGTGTTATGATTTGGTCATGTATGTCAGCAGATGGTATTGGTCGCCTTCATGTCATCGATGGGACACTGAATGCCAGAAAATACATTGACACTATTCTAGAACCAAAACTTCTACCTTCCATCAGAGATCTCTTTTCCAACAATGCTTCGTTTATTTTTCAGCAGGATTCTGCTCCTTGCCACACGGCCAAAATATCGAAAGAGTGGTTTCGTACAAAGAGCATTAAATTGTTGTCTAGGCCAGGAAACAGTCCTGACCTCAGTCCTATCGAAAATTTGTGGCACCGTTTGAAAACTCTTGTTCGAATGAGGCGCCCATGAAATAAAAAGGAACTAATTGAGGCTATAATTGTTTCCCGGCATCATGTAATAACGAAAGAAGAGCTTAAAACTCTTGTCAGCTCAATGAAACGGGGATGTGAAGCTATAATCAAAAATAAAGGGTACCCTACTAAGTACTGATAACTCACTGCAATCATCACTATCTAATGTATATCGATAACTATTATCGTTTAACTTTTTTGTATTGCAAATAATTGAATTTTGTGTTTTGTATTGAATCCAGTAATAAATTCTCTTTAAAATGATATATACGAGTTTGCATTTTGTGAAACGTAACGTTTTCTATAAGCATACAAAGTTCAAAAACATAAAAATTTCCAAAAGTGTCCACAATTTTGGCCACCACTGTATGTACCCCTAGCGGCCTATCCGCTCAACCAATCGAAATTAAATTTCAGATTTTGTTTTCTGAAGACATGCGTTCAAGATTGTTATGATTTAAAACAATAGAGGTCTCTTATTTACGGTTACAGTGAACAAATTTACAGATTTTTGAATTGAAGTTTCCCCTTCCCTGCGTAAATTGATCAGCGCATTGAAAAACCATACATAGAACGATACACGTATACGAAAATTGACAGCCTAAAATATTTTCAAAGAACAGTATAGTAGAGGACCAATGACAACACAAGAGAGAGGAGAGGGAGAAACTTTTATTGGAATTACAAGTTTTCAACGGGCTTACATTCGCAGATGATAATGCATTGTATGCGAAAGATTAACTTCACCTTTTATGGCATCTTTCAGTTCTGGCAAATCTCATGGAGTGAGGGCGGATGATCGTGGTGGCCACAAAACAGCAATGTTGCGGGATATAACATTTATCTTCAAATTTGCGCACGATAAGAACTTGTTCGAATAAGTTTTTTTCTCTCTCCTCTCTTGTGTTGTCATAGGTCCTTTACAATGCTCTTATTTGCAAAAGATTTACGCCGGCAATTTTTGTCATATATGTATCCTTCCACTGCCATCTATGATTTTTCTGTGCTGTGGTCAATTTCCACTGGAATAAAATGGGTATCCCCATTCAAAAATTTGTAAATTTTCTCACTGTAACCGTAACTGTGAGAGTTCTATTGTTTTTATATCATCTCAATTTCTAGCGCATACCTTCAAATATCAATATCGGAAATTTCGTTTCAATTGGTTGATCGGATAGGCTGCTAGAGATTCATATAACAGGGAAGTCTTTTTATGGCCACCCTGTATTTGAATTCTAACTAGTAATTCCCAGACTAGTTTAACATAGTGTTGCATTTTTCTTCTGACACTAGTTGTTACGTTATTTTCTTCATTCACGTTCGTACGGGGTTCGTAGATTTGGAGTGAATAACGACGACAGCACTTGATGGAATATCAAAACACACTTTATTTAGCCAATATTAATTAGGACAGCTCCAATAGCACGTTTACACAGTCGTCGAAGAACTACAATAAACACCCTGGAACAATCAGCGACACAGCCTTCAGGTTATCAGGCTATAACGGTGGAGACAGCTTCACTGCAAAGCACCAGAGTACAGCTTCCGACTCTGCTCAATCGTTCTCGGAACTCCACGTATTCTCGAGACTCTCTACGCTACAACTCGCGATGCACTCGACAACACACAGAGCGCAGCTCCCGACTCTTCGGTTCAGAAGTTCCCGGAGCTTAACACACACTCTCGACGATGCACTAACTCGCGATACACTAAAGACTCTCTCGATGCACTCGACGACCAACTCGGCGCTAGACTTCGAGACACTCGCTCGATAAATGACTATCAGCTCGCTAGACGAGGCACACAAACACACTGACTGCGGACCAGCAGGGTTTATATAGCTTTCGGCTTGTGTTCGAGAACATTCTGGGCTAAACCGGTAAAAATTCGTTCCAGAAGGTTCTCCATCTGCATATCCAATTTTGTCGCCAAATGGGCGATTTCTCGCCAAATGTGGCAACCCTGCTTTCCCCGTGCCATTTTATGGCAACCCTATAACTGCTTTGCGGGGAAGTTATTTTACCGTACCTGTACTTTTCGTAACAGTATCGAGATTGGGGTTGTGAAGAAGGGATTGATAAAATATCAATTCGAGATATCTTCAGCACAGCGTTAAGGTATAATATTAAAAAGCTAATAAAGTGCTACAATTTTTCGATAACTTATAGCTGAAATTTCAATTTTGTAAATGAACAACTTTTTTTATTATCATGAATTACTATAAATTTCTCAATTTCATTGCAATATTGCATTTAAAATTGTTTAGGTTTCTGGTTAAGTTTTTAAGTGCTTACAACATCCCCGTACATACACCAGAGTACTCAGTGATGACATGAGTACTCTGGTGTATGTATGGGGCTACGAAGTTTGCATTAGATGAGTTGGAAAGAGGTATCCCGGGATGCCTTGAAGATGGGCACTGAGGATATGAGCAGTATTTTTCCGGATAATCCCCATGAGATCTTTGTGTTACACAATCAATATTTCTAAAAGCCTTGAAATTTTGGAAACTCTGAAAATTACTTGTGAAGCTGTAGTAGAGAACCATCTTTGTATGTGGGAAAACAGTATTCATTGCGTAATGTAATATCTTTCGACACAAGTTTAAAAGAAGTTTCATTATTTCCGTTTTCATACGTTTCTAATACTTAACATTCATTGCATGGATGTTTATCAACTCAGATTTCTTTTACAGCTAATGTAAGACATTTAAGATAGTTACAGGCCACACACTTTATTTCCTAAATCATTCTTCCTGGTATAATTTTATTAGAAGCATTCAGCAATATAGAACAATTTTTGAAAATAAGATAATAATAGTAACTCTTTACATTCTATTGCATTGAACGGAATAGCAGTTAGCACAGGCTGACTACTAGTCTAAACTCACAAGATGCCGGTTCGAATTAAGCATAAGGCTTGGTTGCGTGTGTTTATTCTCATCCTTTTTCATGAATTAATATCAATTACCTTTCAGTGATACAGCCTCAACAATGTTCATGGTAATGAGGCAGTTAAATGACCAATGGTTTCAAACTTCCTATGAATGCATTAAGTTCCAAGTGTGTGGCCATTTAATATTTTTTTCAAAGGTTATATACTCCCAGTAGATTAAAAAGCCCAGTCAGAGATGTTTTAATTAATTAAGTTGCTTTAATTAAAGCTTTAATTCATTATGTTTTAATTAATTAAGTTGCTTTAATTAATGCTTTAATTCATTATGTTTTAATTAATTAAGTTGCTTTAATT